CTGATTCCACATTACTCTTGCCTAATTGATGGAGCCCCAGGATGATGGTGCAAGTGAAGAGGCTGCTTAACCTTTAAGGGTGCAAACTAATGCTGCTATTTCCAATGTAACTCTCATTTTAACCTATTCTCCATCTTTTACTTGAAAAAAATTTTTAATCCAACATTTTCTGACCTATTTGAATGTTTCACAAATTTTAGTTGTCCTTTTATTAATTAATTAATTCATTAATACATACACACAACTGGATTTTTATCAGGTATCATAGAGAACAATACCCCAAATACAGTAGTCATCCCATCTTATTGTGACACAGGAGCCATAAATGGTCACTCATATGCATGTAGGACCCACACCACAGGGGATGCTGTGGTGAGCCAGGAAGTGGGCCCTCACCAGAACTGAATGAATGTACAGTTTCTTGGGAACATCGTGGAATTGGCTGTATTGTTTATAGATCGGGATGATCAACATGGCAAACATCGAAGTAAGGCACAGATTATGAAGAGCGATTCCAACTTCCTCTACTCCAGGATCACATAAAGAAGTACTAAAGCAGAGGGTATCCCTAACATCAGTGATGATATCCCCATACAATCAGCAGAAAAGAGTAGTATCAGAGAATACAGATAAATGACTTTGAGACTTCATCAGAAATGAAATCTCCTTTGGCTTTCCCATAAATTTTGTTCTTTTTTAACCTAATTCTCATTACTAAAAGATCAGCATATTCACCTATGATTCCATCTACATATTATTATTAAGAAAAAACCACTAATTCAGGTAATGGTATGTCCTTGAAGTTTTTCAAAAGTGTGGGAATTCAGAAACTTACACCCACAGAAAGTTCCAGTGTACCACAAAATGTTCTGCAGGGTAGTATGGTCCTTGTCCTTTCAGAAAGTGAGTAATGGTGGAGGAAAATGTAGGTAAACTGAATATAGAACAAAAGGAAGAGCTTATGGTCAGAAGATTCACCAACATTCAGATCTGCAGTGGACCAAAAGCACAGGTATCAACAATCCAGGCCTAAGCAAACACTGTCATAATAAACTAGTAGAACTCAGGCAAGAAAGAGGAACATTATTCAAGAGGAATACCCAAGTTGCCAGAACTTGACCCAATAGCTAAATTCCAGGAATACTCCTTGAAAAAGAAAGCAAATGATCATGACCGTCATGACTTCAGAATGAACACTGAATAGAAACAGAAGTTGAAGAGTCCAGACGGGAGATATAAGTAGCACAGAAAGGTTTATCAATTGCTAACCTATTTCCAGTGAAATGCCATCCTCAGTAGATTACGAATCAATACCACATTGGCCATGAGACACAAAATCCAAGTTTACAGCTCCAATATGAAGATCCACTTGGCAAATGCCAAAGCAGTATTTGAAAGTAACAATTTTTTTGATACTTCAATCTGATATAGTTACACCTCAAATTAATTCAAGTAAGGATTACATTACCCAAGGCAATAAAAACTGCCTGCCACCAACTTGTTTCTGGTTATATAAAGGCAGTTTTAGAAAGCTTTTGAGGATCTACTAGCAATAACCAGAGTTAAGAGTACTAGCTTGGTAATTCGACCTGGTTTTACGATCTCTTTAATGTCCAGCATTTGAACCCTTTTTACATGAGGTATTTCTCACATCACCGAGATCCCAGATTTGGGACTGGATGCAATGATGTGAGGTTCCTATGTGGACAGAGTGAGCTTGTTTTTGGTTTTTAAGAGATAGCTGTATGATGTTAACTAAGAGGCTATATTTACATATTTAAATAAATGAAAGCATAGAAAGTGAAGAAAATATTGACATATGGGGTAGGCAGAAGGGTGGGCTATAATGGAAACCTTTTTTCTTCCTTTGATACTACTTAGCAAATGAATAACAACTCTATGAGTGACAAATTACCCTTCTCATTAGTATGAGTGGAAGATAGAGCCCACCTGTCACCAGACTTTCTTGGAAACACCAAGCATCAGTGGCTCTGGCTTCCCAACCTTCTGCATGTCTCAGCTGCAGGCTCAGCCTAGGACCCATCAGACTTGCAATCAGAAATCAATGAAGAGGTATATTAAGAAACAATTTATCTAGGAACCTTGGGAACATTAGGGAACTCTCAGGCATGATTCTGGCAATGGTTTCTGCTTGTAAAGCCCTGAACATGGTCTTACCATTCCTTACCAATTCTTGGAACCATTTAATATCCTTTCAGAGAACCTTATCTGAATCAACTGGCTAGAGTTGGCTCATGTGCTTTCCAACTAAGAACTCAGGCTGCTACAATTTGTAGCAATTGTGATATGCTATTTACTGATGTGACCTATCAAGTTTTCTAAGGTGAAATTGAGTCCATGTGTAACCTCTGTCAACAAACTAGAAAAATACTGACATTTCAAGATAAGCTCTAACAGCCTAATAAGATTAATTGGTCTTAGGAAGTATATTAAATAAAACATACAGAATGGATAATACTGATTGGTGGTGTGTTTCATATACAACTACAACAGTAGTATATTATATATGGTAGTAATAGTACACAGCAGTATAACAGTATTATAACTCATTTCAGGTTCCTGGACATGATTCTGACGTGGGGGGAAAAGAGGGGTCTTTCCACACACACAGACCAAGCAATTCTCAAACATCAGCAGGGTATCTGAGAACTCAGTTCTGATGCTATCTGTCTGGAGGCAGCACCAGATTCCCCAGGTTAAGGGCTCCATCCTATAAGACTGCCCTCCACCCACCACTCCAGATGCCAATCACAAGCCCCAGGTAATTTCTGTGCTTCTGACCAACCTGCTACAGATTGGAGGTTCCAAAGACCTCCCCCTTAGGTTCAATTAATTTCTTAGAGTAGCTCACAGAACTCAGGAAAACACATTTACCAGTTTAATAAAGGATACCATAAAGGAAACAAATTAACAGCCAGACGAAAAGATACATAGGGCAAAGTCCCAATAAAGGAGCTTCTATCCTTGTGGAGCTTGGGGCCTGGCTCGGTGGCATGTGGGAGCATTCTGGTTCCCCCAAGCATGGAAGTTCTCCAAGAGAGAAGCAGAATCCCCAAGATCCAAGAGTGATAGGCTCTTCTCACGGGTTTTGTGAGAGCTTTACTGCATAGTCATCATTGACCAAGTTATTGGCCATTGGCTGATTCAACCTCCAGCCCCCACACTTGGGTGGGTTCCAAAAATCTCTCATTAACATGACAAGACACCCATTTCACCTTTAAGACTCTGCAGTTTCTTTAGGAACTGTGGATGAAGACCAAATATACCCGGGAAGTACACATTTGATGACCAAATATGTATTTCTGATAACATTATATTACACTGATTGAGTACAAAATCCATAAGAAATTTCAAAATACAAAAGGTGTATCTGAAAACAGTATTAACATGTCTGGGTTTCCCCCTCTCCTAGCTGAAATCTCTCTAAAACATCAATAAAAGTACATTTATTTTTGTCAAGACTAGGTGTAATCTGAAACATCAAGCCACAAAATACTGTGGAAAGTGCAGAAGCAGGAAAGACTGAGCAAGAAGAAGGGAGCATAATGACAAAGTTAACACTGCTACACTGTATATTTGAAAGTTGCTAAGGAAGTAAATCCTAAGGGCTCTCATCACCAGGAAAGAAATATTTTTTCTTTTTCTTTGTATCTATGAGATGATGGATGTTAACTAACTGTGCTAATCATTTCACAATATATATAAATCATCATGAACCTTGAACTTACACAGAGCTGATTGTTAATTAGTCTCAATAAAGCTGAGAAAATGTAAAAAACATTGGTTATAGGAAAGTAGTTCTTAACATCTATGTAGTTAAAAAACATTTTGATCAACATTCATTTCTAATTTTACTAGAGTATGGTGAAAGAAACGTAGCCTATTAATTTTTCTATGGCAAAATCGAATTTTACTTTTATAAACTTTACACAAAAAATTTTATGCAAGAGACATGTTTATATATGCCATACACCATTTGAATGAAGTTGATTCCCCTTTTTAACCTTAAATTTTAGGTTCAAAAGTTAAATTACTTATTTTTGGCATGTTGTCAATTTTTTTTTTTTTGGCTGACCATTTTTTAATAGAATACCTTTCCTACAAAGAGAAATTATTGAGCAAATGATATAAATTAACATTTTTATTTACTGAATCTATATTACTTCAAAACACTTGGCAACTGTAAGTCACCCAGGAACCGATATTATACGTATGACTTAGTGCACCCAGATGACTCACTTATTCCACCTGGCCAGAAACACACACACACTTCAAAATAATTTCTTGCAGTTTCATATATTTACACATTTTAATGAAATATTTTCAACATTTAATGATGAGATTATTTTGCAATAAATCACTCCCCAAGCTTGTAATCTTCAGAGTCCTGATAGCCCAGATGGCTTTATACTAATTTATGTAATCATGTATCTGCCTTCAAAGTAAGATTCAATATGCCCAGGTAAAGCCATCCACTAGTACCCAGCACTGGTCTTGGTTATACCTATAATTTAGGGGAAAAGAAGCCTATTCAGGTCCTGTAGCTACATTAGGGATTTTCATAATTTTATGTCCTCTCCAAAAGGCAATGCATGGACAACCCCTGCTGTTCCACTATCTGGGCATCATAAACTAACTGATTATCCTCTCAGGGTGGGGAGCCAGTCTTCCAGGCACCAACAGCTGTTGTCCCAGAACTTCAGTCACTGCTATGTGTGCTGCATTCTCTGGCTTAATCTTCATAGAGATGGCTCCACTTGGGATCATCTCATGGGGATGGAATTTTATACTAAGGGTGACACCTATCAGATGTCACTTTAGGTTTCTTTCTTTCAGGAATTTACCTCTATTCTCTGAACTCTCAGTGCAACTTTCATCTTATTTTTATTAACTCTTGGGATCAGAGGTTTCAGATCCATGATAATCCATAGGATTAGAATTCATGACTTAGGGGCAAAGTCCAGAAAGATGTGAAACAAATCTAAAAAAGAGTAGGTACAAATCCTGCCTAAAATAATTATTAAAAGTTTGGTAATGGCACTTAGCTATCAGAGGACTCTCACATAAAAAAGAACATATCCCAGAGGAAAAAAAGACAATACTATATAAGGGGAGGGGGGAAACCCTAAAAGTAGAGCTCCTTTGTATATGAAAAATGCCCCTTATACTGCCCATGCATTGTCAACCCCTCACAGAACCCCTTTTGTCCTAAATTTCCAATTCCTCCTTCATGAAGAAATATTTCATATTCAGTAAGGAATATTCCTGGGAATCTAAGTCCTAAGGAATGACCTGTTCATACTACCACAAATGGAAATCTCAGAACCCTGAGGAATCTCTGCTATCTAGCCACCCAGCCTTTCCTAAATGGTCAAAGGAGATGGAAATATTGTGGGATTTCTTGGGACTAATTTTTGCTCATCATATAATTTATTATAACAGCATACATTTCAAAAAGAAAACCAGGTATAAACCTAAAGATCAATTAGATACACCCAGAATTCCTCAGTTCTGATCCATACACGAATACCTTATCATAGTGGTTCTAGAAATGAATGTCCTACACTCTTTTCTTGCATTTTCCACTTGATATCACAGCCATTTTCCTAGTTTTTATGAAATCTTCATATATAATAGTACTGTATGGAACAAATTATAGTAAGTAGCTACTGGGGGAATAATAGTGTAGAACAATATGCTGAAATACCATTTTCCTGCCTAGGTTCTAGTAACTACAGCAATTTTTCAGTCTTCTTAACAAGCCTACCAGTGTTAGCATTCTCATTTGCACTTTATTGGAAAAGAGGTCTACCTCACTGACAATCACTATACAAATCACCCATTTAATGGTAATTCTTTCAGCTTCAAGTCCGAGTGCTTTCTGCAAGGAAATGTGCCGATACTTATTACTTTTGTGGGAATGTATCATAAAGGCCAAGTCTGATTTCTTTTTTATATGGAATTAAGTAAAACGTGTGATTCATAGTTTTTTCTTCTCCAGAACGTATTTCCAATTCACAATAACAAAGGGCTAACTGAACGCTTGCCCACATATATTGCTTTCATGGTAGTTCTTTCCAATACATATAATCCCTTAAAAGAAAAAAAGTGGGGGGACTATACTCTGGATGAAATATTTCCAAACTAGCTACATTCATAAGGTTTCTCTTGAGTATGAGTTGCCTGGTGCCTAATAAGTTTAGAGCTATTAATGAAAGCTTTCCCACACTGATTACATGTAAAAGGTTTCTCTCCAGTATGAGTTCTTTGATGTACAATAAGTCGAGCACTCAAGCTGAATGTCTTTCCACATTGATGACATTCATAGGGCTTCTCTCCAGTATGAGTTCTCTGATGTTGAGTAAGACATGAACTCTGCCTGAAAGATTTACCACACTGATTGCACTCATAGGGCTTTTCTCCAGTATGAGTTCTCTGATGTACAACAAGAACGTAACTCTGGCTGAAGGACTTCCCACACTGATTACATTCATAGGGCTTTTCTCCAGTATGGGTTCTCTGATGCATAACAAGGTGAGAACTGCGGTTGAAAGATTTTCCACACTCATTACATTCATAGGGTTTCTCTCCAGTATGAGTTCTTTGATGTGCAACAAGCTGAGAGCTCCAGCTGAAGGATTTTCCACACTGATTACATTCAAAAGGTTTTTCTCCTGTGTGAGTTCTCTGATGGGCAACAAGTTTGTAACTTTGACTAAAGGACTTTCCACACTGATTGCATTCATAGGGTTTTTCTCCAGTATGAATTCTTTGATGTGCAATAAGCTTATAGCTCTGGATAAATGATTTCCCACACTGATTGCACTCATAGGGCTTCTCTCCAGTATGAGTTCTCTGATGTGCAATAAGTTTGTAGCTCTGCCTGAATGACTTTCCACATTGATCGCATTCATAAGGCTTCTCTCCAGTATGAGTTCTCTGGTGCACAACAAGAACATAGCTCTGGCTAAAGGATTTCCCACACTGATTGCATCTATAAGGTTTCTCTCCAGTATGAGTTCTCTGATGGGAAACAAGGTGCGAGCTCCGGCTGAAGGATTTCCCACATTCATTACATTCATAAGGTTTCTCACCTGTATGAGTTCTCTGATGTGCAACAAGATGAGAGCTCCAGCTGAAGGATTTCCCACACTGATTACATTCAAATGGTTTCTCTTCAGAATGATTTCTCATGTTTGGAGCAAGGGATGAAGTTTGGGATGTTTCACATTTATATTGACTTTCTTCAACAGGGATTTTCTGTTGATCACTATGAGATAGTCTGTGGTTCAACACTTGCCCACATTCCTTAAAATTAAAAGATCTTCCTCTTGCATGTATTTTCTCCTGTATATTTAAGGGCGTACTATGGCTAAAAGATTGAATACTGTCACTGAATTCATAGGATTTGTCTTCTGTCTGAGTTCTTCTAAACTGAATAAGGTGAATACTCTGGGGGGTGTTTCCACATTCACTATTTTCACAGAGTTTTTCATCATCATTAATCATCTGATGAGTGTTTACAACAGAATTATTATGTAATTTTTTAACATGTGAGGCATGTTTATGAAAATGGTTTCTTATGGGGATCATCTGGGATGAAAGAAGACTAGAATTCAGACCACTCTTCTCAAGTTCATCATCTTTGCAGACTCTCTCATGAGTAATAGCTTTTCTGTGAGTAAATGCCAATTCCTTCAAAACTCTCTCCTGTTTTTCCTGTTGCTTCTCCAACTGCTCATTACAATCCTGAACTTCTTCACATGAAGATAACCAAGGATCATCTCTTGTCAACTTTTCTACCTTCACTCTATGGGATGGTTGATCATTAAAAATGCTTTGTTTTGATATTGATTCTCTTCTTCCAAGTGCAGTTGCCAAGTCTGGAAAAAAGCAAAATAAAAAACATTCTAGCCAAAAAAATATTAAAGCTGGAATAGTGGGAAAAAAGCTGACAGGAAAATATGCAAAATATAGTGGATATATTTCTAGCTATGGACCTAGAACCTGGATTGAGAAAGCAAAAGGGTGGGATAAAGTAGTAAGTAGCAAACTACCACAGCACAATGGTATATCAGAGAAATGAAACTATTTTCATCTTAGTGTTGCTGAATAAAGACTTTAATGAGAAATATCTCCATATTCCAAAGATCACCTATGCAGAACCTACAGAATCTCTAAACAATTTTGCAATGCTTAGCCAAAAAAGAGAGGATCCCTTCTACCCACTGTAGTATAGACAATAAATTCACTGAAGTAGAGATTAGTGTTTATATTTCTAGGAATTTCTAAAGGCATGAAACTTGCTAGCAAGTCTATGTCAGGCAGACACAGGCTAACTATTTTGTGAACCAGAAAAAGAATGGGGGCACTGTTATCCTAGGTTCCCTAAATGCCTTAGGGACTAATATGTTCCCATGGATTCCTGTGCTTACAAGAGAATGGAGTTTAGCTCAGAAGCAGAAGCCTGAGTGGCTAACAGGTCAAGCAACAGACAGTATACCTGGAAAAAAGTGCTGATGTATACAGTCCACTAGGAGGGGAAGATGGAAAAATATATACTTATTAAATAATGACTTCTAAGAGTCTCTCACTGGGATATGTGTGTTGGGAAATTCTTTTTATACTTATCCTTTTACTCTAATTAGAAGATTGCATCTGGTTTGAAAAGCTGATAGGGAAAGATATAGGATTATGGGTGTTTGGGCTGGGACAAAAGAAAATCACTGCAAACTTTGGTCCTAGTCTTTGGCCTTTAGGGACTATGAAGATTGAATCAGTTCAAATGCAAAAAGCTATCTTTGTTATTGTAGACTCAAATTAAATCTTCCCTAGTGAATAAAAAGTACATTATGCAATCTATGTGTGGCCAAAATCATTCTGGCCTCTGAACTCCACAGCTCTTAATCAATGGAAATAAGGAATAATTTCAATACACAGACTTCATTAAAGGGGACAGTTCTTACCCCAAGAGACCAGGTCCCTGTGGTTATCCAGTACCATATCTCTATTCAGGGTCCTCTGAGCAAGGTTCAAGGTGCTCTCTTCCTCCTGAGTGAAGTCCATAGCCACAATTTTGAAGTTCACGCCTTCCTAAAATAGGACACACATTTCTGCTCAGCTAGGCATCATTTCTTTCCAGTGTTCAGAGAGGAGGAAAAATTTGACAGATGGAAGAATGAAAACCTGATGGCATGGAAGTTGTCCTGAGATTGTCAGTGTCCAAAGGATTCCAGTCAAGGTGTACAGGCAGCTTCCAGGTGAGCCCTTCTGGCTTCTGGATATTGACCCTGTTTATACAACCCCAAGGTTGGAACCCCAAAGGGGAACACTGAATAATACCTAATATAAATTGTTCTCTCTCTCTAGTTCACCTTAAAGAAAACGCTTACTCTGATATTTGAACTGGTAAATACAAAATTCCCACTTAGGAATTACCTCTGAATTCCCAAGACACTAACAAAACAGGGTCAGCAAACTTCCTGCCAAAGGGCAGAGAGTAAATATTTTAGGCTTTGCAAGCCATAGAGTCTCTCTTGTAACTACTGAGGCCTGCTGCTATAGCAAGAGGCACAGAAGATAACAAATGGGTGTGGCTGTATTACAATAAAACTATCTATAAAAACAGGTGGTGGGCCAGATTTGGCCCCCAGACTTAACTTATTGATGCCTGAGATAAAAGCTGAAATGTAGGCCTTAGTAAGGCAGTATGTATAGGTGAACAGCACTAGGTTTGGAAAAGAGATGTGGATTTTCTCATCTATTAAAAGCATATATCTCAACTTGAAAAATATTTACCAAATCTGACCATCTGTTTTATAACAGAGATTTTATTCCCTTTCTATTTCTTAGGCTTAATCATACCCAGCTCATTGGGTTGCTGAGTGCATTAATTGTGATGATATATGAAAAGCCACTAGCAGAGTTAACTTAACAAAAAACAAAGGCTAGTAATTATCATCAGATTATCAGGCTTGAGAGCCCTGAAAAATTAAGTGACAGCCAATGTAACCTTCATCCTGGGTTCTTAGTCTTCAAAAGGTAGTTCTATTTTGTCCACACGCAGAGCTGCACTATAGGGCCTTTAGGAGACATTCACTGTCATTACTGCCATGTAAAGGAGGTCTCTTGTATTGCCTCCTCTAAGCAGGAAAGGACCTGTTCCTACTGGGCAGGAACTTTGATCCAAACAAGTGCTGAGGGTGATGTGTCCTTACCCAGAGGCAGCAAAAGTGGGGTAAGTTGAATGCCACTTGCCACTAAAATGCTTAGGTGTTCTTAAGCTGTGGTTCATGAGTAGGACATGAGGTCCTTGAATCTCATGTAACTCCATGTAAAATGCTGCTATGCCTGCATTTTTCTAAGTTTTCTAAGTTTCTAAGTTTTTTTGAGTCCCATAAATTTCACCAAAATCTCAAAGGTTTTCATGATTAGCCCTAGATGGGATTCAGAAATATCATTTGCAAACACCTGTGTTGAACACAGATTTATACATACTGCTTTGCAAACTCCAACCCATAATCCTTTTAATCAACACCCCCTTTACTGTTTGATGTAAGTTGTTTTAATATCAAGTTTGTTCAAATGTTAAATATGTAATATTAGATTAGATTGGTACACCCCCCCACCCCCACTATATCCTCTCAAAGTTCCATGGATTTCTATCATTAAGACTTGCCACACTTATCACTTGCATAATGGTCATCTTTGTTACTAGGCTACAGTCCATGAGGGCAGGGGCAAGGAATTTTTAATTTGCAACTGTCACTCCAGTGCTTAGCATAGTGTTCGTGTATAGTAGACAATAAATATGTATTTGGTAAATTATTTCACTAAGTCAGTCAGTAGTAGATAAGAGCTTTGTCCTACCAACCTCTTGAATACCTCCCCCCCACCCACTGAAGATTCACAACACTGAGGATTTATTCTCTACTTCAATAACCTGTATTGTTTCATCTTGCATCATCTATAGCATCAACTTGTACTCTGATAATATAAAAATAACCGACTTTAAAGTAGCACTTACTGTGTGGTGTCAGGCAGTGTGCTAAGCATGTCACATAAATTACTCATTTAATTCCTTAAGAAATTAAATGTAAGAAAATACTATTAACAGCACCATTTTTCATATCAAGAGCTAGAAGATTAGGGAAATTAACATATGCCTAAGGTTGGTGGCTGGGATTCAACCTCAAGTTGCTACATCAGAGGCAATTCATAGGGCTAGCCCAACTCCCACACCCTAGAATTGCCCAGCACCCCACTCTTAGATACTCCAGACCTTGAAATCACTATAAAGTGCTCCACCTCTCAGATCACATGTACAGAACTGCCCACTTTGATTACATCAGGATGCTCTACTTTACTTGCTTAATCACTCCTTTTACTCTTAGTCTTTGATGCTTTGGGGCCATTACCCTATTGAAATTTCTATTACTATCTACCCACCTACAATCTTTTTTTTCTATTTAGTATCGTCTTTATCATTTCCATTTTTATTCAGTTTAGAGTCTCTGCATCATTCATTTTCATCTTTCTACTTGATCTCTTTCAAATACTACCTTGACCTATGGGGCTTCCACTGAATGTATCTGCCTACAAAACTAAACAAATCTGAATGTTAACCTTGTTACTTACAAAAAGTCAGCCACTAGGAATGAAACCCAGATACGGTAACTATCTCAGAATGATCCTTTTGGACTGACCAGGAACCCTATTATACCTGCTGGAGCAGCATGTCTCTCATAATCCAAAATTACTACTTCTCCCCTCTTGTCAAACATCTTTCCATTCCAATTCCCACCCTCATGACCAATGAGTAACTTGATCTAATTGTTCACAGAGAAAAATAATTCCCCCAACCTCATTCTTCCTATTTGAGTCCCTCTTCCTCTATGGAGCCAATTTATTCACATTTGTTCTAAATTAATTCCCCTGGTACTAATCAAGGACTCTGCTTTATAGTTTTATTTCCTCACTCTCTGGATTGTTAACTTCTTTTTCTCCAGTTACTTCTTCCTGCAACTATTTAAATAGAGTCAAATCTTCTCAGTCCTTTAAGGGGGGCGGGGGGAATAAAGCAAAAAGCCCCTCAATCTCAAATTTCCTTGCAGCTATCACTCTCTTCAATCTTTCATATTATAACCAAGTAAAAGTTGTCCACTTTTATCTCCATTTCCTCACTTTCTACTTATTGTTCAGCTCACTTCAGTTTGGCTTCTGTCACCAACCAGTCGTACATATTTCTCATTGTAAAAAAAAGAGTCCTCATTCAGCTCACCTGGGATTTGATGGCCAGTGATCCAGCATCTTCTCTCTCAACCTTGACAATAATCTCTTGAGGAAGGAGAGAGTCCTGAGAAGGCAAAACAGATAAGAAAAGGGAAAATAATCAAGAAATGAAGTCAGATCAAAACTCCCACTGCGAGTAAGCCAGAATTTGACACATGTTTAATCCCACCTGTTTTAACACATCCCACCTACCAAACTTCTACTCCCTCCCATTGGTAAGCTCAAGACCTTGAAATCACTATAAAGTGATTTCTCCCTCCAGCCATGCGGAGGGAGAGAGAAAAGCAGCAGTGAGACACAGAGGCATGAGGTCTTCGTGGATCTTCCAGGCCAGCCCAGCTACCAGCTTAATGCAGCTGAGGGATCCCACGCACTATAAGGAAGAAAAGAACCATCTAGCTGGGCTCTGCCAGAATTCCTGCATTACAGAATTGCAAGCAAAAAAAACAGAATACAGCATGACTGAAGACTCATGAAGGGAAGTATCAACAAATTAACTTCATGAAGTGTTTGGCAAAAAGCATGACCAACGAAGGCACCATCTGTAAGAATCTATACTATTAAGATTTCTTTCAAATCAGTAAGAAAAAGGTAGCTTTAAGAGTAAAATGGGCAGAGGAATATGTAGTACAACTCAACCTAGAAGAAAGAAAATACCCAGCGAATATACAAAGAGACGCTCACCTCTTTAAACCAGGTAATATCAAATCTCTATTTCTGTAACTACTTCTCTCTCTATATTAAATTCACACTGATACCTCCAATTACAAATCAACAACACATTTTATTCGAGCCCTCCTGCTTTCCATAGTTGTACCTTCTTTCTCTGGCTCTCACTACCCTTTATAATTACTTCTTTGCTCGGGCTCCCACATGTAACCAAACTTCCGACCAGCTGGACTGTTTCTTCGGCGTGTTGCTAACTAATGACTCCCACCTTGTGGCCCACCAGTCAAGTGTTTCATGTACTCCTTGTGAAAGTTTAAACAGATCCAACCTTCCTGGTGTACTAGTGTGGGCCTGCTATAGCAATAACTTTTTATGTTGAAATGGTTTAAGACTCATATGTACTTGCAAAAATAAAACAAAGAGTTCCTGCATACCTTTCACCCAGCTTCCCCCAAGAATAGCATCATATATAACCACAATATATAATTTCCTGTTAACACCAGGAAATTGATACTAGTACAGTATTTTAAACTCAGGTACAGACTTTATTCAGATACCATGTTTTCATAAACATTCTTTGCATTTACTTTTTAATGACTACATTTAAATACATCTATAATGTAATTATACAATAAGTCTACTTGTATTCCTTGGAAGTAATAGAAAGTGTGTATATATATATATATATATATATATATATATATATATATATATA